TGTTATTGTTATTATTATTATTATTGAAATTCGTTTGTATTATTTATTACTAATAGTGTTTTTAAATTAATTAATTTCGAAATAAGTCATTGATATTTTCTGCAGTTTGGTGCTTTTTTTTTCACTTTTTTCATATTTAAGTGAATGAATAAAGATTCCAACTTGTCATCTTCATTTGTCCTCGTTACCATCACCTCATAAATGGCGAAGTTTGTTTTGACCTTAGATAAATTTAATTATCAAATGAACTCTGAGAAAAAGGATTAGGACAAAAAGACATCGTAAACATTTAATAAAAGTGTTCAAGATAGTGAAAAAAACGAAAAAATTATCAATCCCCAAGGTCGATAGTGAGACATTATCGTATTTCAATGCTTTCAATCGGTAATTAAATTCATCTAAGTCATCATTTTGTCCTGTAATGAAAGGTATCTAAAGTAAACACTGTAAAAAAGGATAATATTTTTTAGCAATATACAACTACAGAATACATTTATCAGTTTTATTTCATTTCCACTAGTAGAATTTTTCAAACTTTTATTCTGATTTAAATATTCATATTTAAATATTCAAAAGAAATCATATTTTTTCGTCTATGCAGTAAGTAAATCATCGATTTATTTTTCCATTTCAAAATTTGTCATTAGTGTAAAAAAATAAAAATTCCAAATTTTAGAAATGTTAACAGTGCTATTTGCGTCAGTAATCGTATCACTTATTGTTACGAACATAGGAGCAACAGCTTCGCTTTTCAATAATGCAATTCAAGGTTGTCAACTTCATAGCTCATTAACTATCCGTTTACATTCCATCCTTCTATCAATCTGTTTTACTATTTTAAACGATCATTCGAAATGAAACGATCGTTCGGATGGCTTTTGTTAAATTTTATTTTGAAGGTATTGTTATTGAACAAAAATTCGCTTGGTGCTACCAATAAAAAAGGTGAAAAATGAAAAAAAATGAAAAAAGAAAACCGATCATTTACACTTTTCTTTTAAATTCTAAATTTTGAAAATTTTGACAAATTTTTTAAAAATGGTCAGATTAGAATGTGAAAAAAATTTTTTTTGGCATAAAATTACAGGTTTTGGGATGTAAATTGTTGCTAAAGGAACAATTCTGACCTTCACATGCATTTCACAACAAAGATATACGTTATCAGAGGAATGAAAAAAAAATGGATTAAAATTTGAAATTCGTTTTTTTTTCTTTCTTTTTGCAATGAATACAAAATTTTGCATCCATTTGACGTGCAAAAACATTACGTACCTATTGGAAATACAATATAAAACAATAATATTTGTCATTTAAAAAAATATCAAAATTTGAATTATTTCAGTTTCCAATTCGCCTAAACTATTAAATGAATATATTTTTGCATATTGATATCGCAGTAATTATTTTAATCGAATTCTATATGGAAATTACTAAAACTTTACCAAATGACCTTATGTTTTTCTCCAATTGTTTTGATTTTTAAAAAATTCGAAGTGAACTTTTTGAACAAAAAAGATTGCTCAATTTTTAAAGTTTTCATAAAAACGAATTAGCTAGGGAATTTTAATATGTATTTACAATATGCTTGAAAGTGAAAAAAGTAATTTTGCAAAATCGCCTCTTGCCCCATAGCAGGCTCGAACTGCTGACCTTCGCATCTCTTCGCTCACTTATAAGTACGACGCGCTAACCGACTGCGCCAATGGGGCCACGATAAATGGACATCAAACATTAATCCATTAAATTTCAATTCTTTCGTTTTATATTTTATATTTGGAAAGAATTCAATTATTGTCACAAAAAATAAATAAAATAATGAAAAAAAATTTTTTTTCAGATTTAAAAACAAATTAATTTTCACGATGTAACTGTATATTTTCAGCAATTTATTTCGCTATTAAGCTACTCGTATCACTTTCAAAAATTATTCTCTTGCAAAATTTCAAAATTTACAGATGGACAAGAAAAATTTGGCTATTTATTAAATAAATAAAAAATTTTGGCTTTCATTAAAAATTGGATAATCAAATAAGGATTAGAAAATAGCATTTTAAAAATTTTAACACAAAACATTTCTTCATTTTTGTTACAAAAAAAATTTGATGAAAAGAAACTGGCATTTTTTTCGGAATTAATTTCAGATCAACCGGAAGTGGAATGTGGACAAGGTACTATAGCAGTACGCGTGAAAACAGCATCGCAGATGCCATCATATATTTTTGCCAAAGGTCATTTCCACAAGGATGGTTGTTACTTCAAGCAAACAGATCATGCAACGTTCCATTTTGAGCAATGTAACGTGAACAGAAAACGTGAAGTAAGTTCATTTCGAGCAATGTAACGTGAAGCAAGAAAGATAAAATAAGTAAGCATAGTTATCAAAATTTCTTGTAAAATTCCAACAATAACTTTTTAGTTTAACATTCCGAAATCCATTTTTACTTTTTCTTTTTTAGGTAAATCCACGTGGAATGGCTTATTCATTCACAGTTATTGTACAACTTCATCCGGTAAATTTTAAATCCGTTTGAAAAAAAAAATTAAAATTAAAAATTTTAAACGATGAACAAATGTGATCGATTAAAAATAATAAATGAAACGTTGCAGTTATTTATTACAAAAGTTGATCGAGCTTATAATGTACGATGTTTCTATATGGAAGAGAACAAGGAAGTTGATGCTGAACTACAAGTTAGGCATGTATATTGTAACTTTCTGATTTAAAAAAGCAATCAAATTCTAATAAAAATTATTAAAATTTCATATATTTTATCATATTTAAGGCTGAAAAAAAAATCGACCAAATAGATAAAAAGCTTATTCGTACAATTTTGAAAAGTCTTTTATTATGACTAATTTTCTCAGAATAATCGCCCAATTAGTCATGCATTTATTTGAGTTGTATTGAAAATGAAGACAATGTTAGCTTGGGAGAAGCTGAAGTATGACTCACACTTTTAAATTATTCCAAAATAACTGCGGTGGACGAAATTGGGAGAGGTAGCAGCGGGAGAAGGGATGGAGCAAGGAAGGTAGACAAAAAAAGAATTGAAAAGATTAGAGTTAAGAAGATAATAATTCCCCGAAATAAAAAGCAAAGCTTTATTTTCATTGAGTAAAATTTATATATTTTGAAGTAAGTTAAAATATTTAAAAAATCATTCCGAAAAAAATTTTTTTTACAATCAAAAAAAATAATCATTTGAAGTTCCTGAATGAATATGCTTTAATAAAAAAAAGGATATAATTAAATTTACGATCATTAATTAAATTGCTTTAATAACTTTCACCGGTTGAAATTTCAAGTCACAAAGAACGAAGAAAACGTCATTCACTCAAACTAAAAAAAAAAGCCGAAAAATATGACAAAATGTGCGACAATTAAACTTATCTCTTTATTTCAGCACTAAAAGATAAAATAACGAAATTTTTTGTTTTTTTTTCAAATATTAAAATTTTATATTTATTAGTTGAAAAATAAAAAAGCTATTTCATTCCATATTTTATTTCTGTTTTATTTACAAAACAAAAAATCACTCTAATTGATATCAAATAATTTCTTGTCATTAAATGAAATATTTTTCCGTTTTTTTTTCTTATCATTTCCTTTTAAAAGGAAAAATGATTTAATTATCTTTCAATCTGTAAATATTCTCACAATTTATACTTCTCATTCACCATCCAATATTTCCCACAATAACTTTTTTTTTTCTTCCTCTTCTTCAAATTTAATCTTTTTAGTTTGATTTTTAGATGGATTATGATTGGGAATTTGAAATTTATTTAGAAAGAAAAGGAAGGAAATGAAGTATAATTTCAATAGCTATGAAAAACTTTTTTTTTTTTTCTTGAAGCTAACTCTTTTTATTATTATTGTATTTTTTCGTTTTTTTTTTGCAAATAAAATTCTAATGTCAAATTTACAAATTCAAATCTCCTTTTTTTTTTTTCAGCGATTTGACGACATCAATGCTTGAATCAGGTCATGCAATGCCTCAATGTTCCTATACACTTCATCGAGATTCCCCAAATGGACCGGTATTACGATACGGTCGAGTAGGTGACATCGTATTTCATGTTTGGGATTGTCCATCAGATGTTTATGCAATGCTTATTCATAGCTGCTATATTTTGGATGGATTAGGTGGACAGCATCAAGTTATCAATGAAAATGGGTAAAAGAATTTAAATATTCGAATTTCAACTGTTTCATTTGAATTTATCAAAATATCCATAAATGTCATGAAAATTTACTAAACGTTATTTGAAATATATTTTCAGTTTTTTGTTGAGAAAAAAAAACCATCAAAATATATTAATGCTTGATGCTTAAATTAAAATTAACTTTTAAATCAACTTGGAAGTGGCTGTTTTTTTTCCAATATTTCCAGGCATTTTTTAAATTGCTATAACTGAAGTGTTTTTTTTTTGTATATGTTTGATAGTTTTTTAATAAATTTTAAATTGATATAAATTTTACAGATGTTCAATAGATGATTTCATTATTCCTCAATTGACATATTCTAGTGAACTCACTCGTAGTTTTGCGGTTAGTTGAATAGCTATATTAATCGTTATTCATTTTCTTTTTTTTTTTTTCATTAATTAATCAAATATTGAATTTGTTTACATTCCATTTTTACTTTTGCTCCAAATTATATAACGATCATTATTTCTAGTCCGAAAATTTCCACAACTTTCAGGGAGCAAGTGTTGTAAATCTTCCGGATCGAGAATCAATTTATTTTAGCTGTCAAGTGAAATTATGTTTTAAAAAGGGAGATTATTGTACCAATGTGACGGTATTTTTAAGATATTTAATTTTTTTTCCCATTCCTTTCTTTCCCTCTATCTCTCTTTCTCTCTCTTTCTCTCTTTCTCTCTACAAAAAATTCTGAATTTAAGATTTATTTTGCTAAATTTATCTTTATTTAACAATATATTTTGTAATTCCTACAAAATTAAGCATTTCTTGTAATGTTTAGATGAATTTTTGTAATAATTGTTAATTATTTTTTATACTTATTTTGTTTTACTATTATTAACCTTTATTTATTATTTATTAATTCCTTATCATTTCATTACTTCTCATTTTATTCTTACCTATTGATTATTTAATATTTTACTTTGAGTTCAAAAAAAAAGTGGCAAAAGACGAAATTTTTATAGCCACCACGTTGTAACGATCAAATCTTAGTCACCACAAATTGGAAAGATGAGGAGAAGCATATCGAAGATGAATTACAAAATGATCAACTTTTGTATACAACAATTGGTCCATTAGCTACATCAAATACTGTCCGAATCGTTCAGACCGTTCCGCCAAATACTATCATTACGTCATCATTCAAGAATTCATCTGAATCCCAAACTTCATCATTCATCGATCATGTCACTGCAACTGTCAAACTAACTAACGAATCAGCCGCAAAATCATCGGAAATTTTGTCGAATGAAATCTCGAAGCAAAACAAATTTGCATTTTTAATTAGTAACAATGAAATAGAAGGTTAATTATTATTTCATTTCATTTCATTACTTACTTCTTATTTACTTTTACTATTAATTTATTATTTGATTTAATTTTTTTTTTGTTCTGTAGAAAGTTACTTTTTTTTTCTACTTCAATAAATAATCAAATATAGAAATGGTAAGCTCTTGTAACTTTACCTAATTAATTAGTATTACAGTGTTTATGTAAGCATTATTAATGATAGCAGATGTGCATTTTCAAATGCGACAAAAAGTAGAAATTCATTTTTTTAAACATAGTGAATGTTGAAAATTTTTTCTACTCTAATATTCCTTTAAAAAATTATACAATTTTAGAATGCTCCAAAAAATTTTGGATTATCAATGAAATA